GCCCCCTCACCTCTTCTATATTTACTACCTATATCTCCCTTGGATTTTATTAGTCATTTCCTCATGATCACTGTGGTTTGAAAGCATCACATCTCTTGTGGAAGGCACTTTACATGGCAGGAGTTTACTACTCAAGTCTGCAAAAGAAGAGAATGGGACCAAAGAGCATCACGGCAGCAAAATCTTAACTAGAGTTTGTGATTTAGAGAAATATTTTTGTAATCTAGCTTGCTTTTAGGCATCATAAAGCATTACTCCTAAAACTGCTGTTACAGAAAATGGCAAAAACTAAGTAAAACTCCAATAAAGAGAAAAAAAAAAAGAGAGAAAGTGTAATCTTGAGAGAGAAAGTTTCAAAATCACAACATTTACAGACTTTCCTCACTACCCAGTTAATGGAATTCCTGCTAGCAATGTTGGAGAAACATTTTAAGTTATATTCCACAGGCATATGGAGACCCCAAATTGCAGTTCTTCATGCTATTACTTCAACAGACTTAGTAACTAACCCTTTCCATAACAGATGTACAAACCCTTTTAATTACTACAATTTAAGAAGCTGATGTACAAATGCAGTTACTAAAAACACATAAAAACAGTATCTTAAGCTGTTCTATCAACAGTCACATTAAATCATAATTACAGAAATAGCAGACTGCTTAGGGAATAAGAGGAGGATATTCCTCCACATGAGTCACGAGGACTGGCTCATTCTGCAGACTAGAACAGCAGTGAAATATTTTGACATGGCACACGTAAAAATCCTTTTCTATGAAGCATCACAGCATCACTTATACTCTAGCAATAGCTAGGACTGAGACAAGGAGCATTTGCAAAGCTGGTATTAATCACAGTAAAGTAGCACAGCCTTGCAGCAATGCGAATGCACGGCTGCCTTTGCAACAGGCTTTGAAAGAGGATATATTAATAATTAGATACAGCAAGTGTCCACTATCCGTAAAACAAACTATAAATAGTGTATTTGGATATAAGGTGGAATTGGAGACCAGTGAAGGAGAAACAAGAAGCAATGTAATTAAACATGTGTTTAAACATACAGAAATGGACCCATTTCCAAGAGCAGATTTGGTTGCCCCATCTTCAAGAGCAAATTCAGATTGAGGGATCATTATCTGTATTCCCAAAATTCAAAGGATTTTGGATTCTTAGTTTGGGCTATTCTAATATTTTCTCAAAAAAATGTGAACAAACAAATCAAGAACCAACCACAGGGCAAGTCCTGTCCTTCTGCCAGGCAAAACTGGAGAATTTCTTCATCCATTTGTCTATGTATTTTTGTTTTGGGTGTTTCTGTAATGCCAAAGAAACGAGTACAATTTGTTACCTAACTACATGGAAAACTTGTCATTCGATCTGCAAATCTGCAGACTTGTGTTTCCCAAGTATTTTCTCACTTGCTTTTAATCACTGTAACAGGCAGATGCAAATATTTTTTCCGATGTTATACATCTCTCTGCTTTATTGATTAAAGACTAATTGTGGAGGGCAGAGCAGTGTAGCGAGCCAGCCATTTCTGAAGAAACATCATAGATTTAGACTTTTAAAATGAAAGGAGTGCCCTCTAGCAGTTTTTTTCCTCCTAGTTCAAGGAGTATCTGTAAAAGCAGCTCTCACTTCCCTCAGCCCTTTGGCTAGCACTAATTCTTTCAGTAAGGACGACCAAGAAGGGTGACAGTTAATCAATGACTCACTTTGTCCTTAACTTGTAAGGCTATCAAGAAAAAAGCACGCCAATCAGTGAAAAATGATGTGAAAAGTTACAACTATCAGCTGTAATTACCCATTTACCTGATACCCACCAGTCTCCAAAGCTGCATTGCTCTTACTGATGATTTTGAAAGTCTTGATGCTTTCCCCCCCACAGGTAGAGTGAAGCTTTAAGTGCAAAAATTCGAAAGTTGCTAACTCATAACATATACAAAAACATGCAATCTGATGCTGTCACCAGTCTTAATCAGAAACAACTTCCCTGAAACCAAAGGAATGATGCAACATATGAAATTAACCAGATAACATCTGTACTAGATACGGGACACAGAATAACAGCTAGAAATTGTTGAGACTTTAAATTTCTGCTCATCCAGAGGCATTTCTTTTATGGTGATAAAAAGGATTAGGCAATATAACACAATTCCACAGACTCCAGCTCCCTCCTCATTTTGGGGCTTCTACTACTCATACAACTCAGGTTCAAGTAAAGCTGGAAACAGGATTATTAAAAATATTTTGAAGGTTAGCTAAAAGATACAAACTCTACCTTTGCTGTATATTTACAAAAACCATCAGGTTTTGGTTCCTTGAGATATTAGACGTACTTAATCTAAGTACAAAGCAGTATCACAGATCAGAATATACACAAGGCTTAAAACTGGGCTTACTAGGAGTTAAGTGTGAGTGTTTCTATTAATTATACTACTCTTTTAGAAGGCATTCAAAATGAAGTCAATCAACTATATGTTTCTCTTACAAAACATCTGCTAATAAGGTAACTTAAACTATATTGCAATAATCATTTTAAGAGCCTTCTGGCTTTTAACTGTTTATTTCCACAGTTTTAAGGTTTCTTCCTATCCCAAACTGCTGTGTTGTTAGTTCATGGTACCTGCATTCACTTCCACACGTCAAGTTAACCAACTTCGAATGGAAACAGGAGAAAAAGGGTTGTCTTTTAAAGCTTTCTGCAGGCAGGGAGAGCAAGCCCAGCTCTCTGTAGTATATATAGGTGCTCCAGTGGTGTAGAGACGCGTGGCTTTGATTCCATCCACTATTGAGTTTCTTCAGAGCTTGAGAAATGAGACACATTTCAGGTTTCATCAGCTTTTCTGATGCTCTCAGTGCACAGATTTATCTGGGCCCTTCGCAGATTATTATGCGATAGCCTCTTTCTTTGCCATCCTTTCTTCATCAGGACATGCCCTTGCTGCATTCACTCACTCCGCAACTGCCTAAAGAGCCTGGAAGGCCACGTCATGATTGTGATGATTCACCAGCCACAATAAAAGCTTTAAATCTCCTTTATACTGCTCTAGGCATTGCTACAAAGGGGGCCAAATAGGAGATAAGAATCTCAAAGACCGCATTTAAAGAGAGAGCTTTTCCTGATGGGATTTAGCTCTCCTTTAGATCTCCTTCATACTTGGTGTTCAACCTGTCTAAAACGAGGACATGCATACAGCTAATTCACAAGCCTAATTTTCCCAAAACATTTTGGTGTTTTAAAGGACAAAACCAGCAGTATTTTACATGCTAAACTGTCCTGGTTTGAGGAACAATCCTTGGAAACTTACGTTATTTATGGCTGCCAAAATTACCAAAGGAGGTTTTGCTGCTGCACAGTGAGGTTCAGGCACTCATCTAATAGATCTCATTGCCTCGGTGATTCTTAGATTGTTTCCTGTTTTCACATATTATTGTAAAACACAAGTAAACAAAACCCACAGAGGGACAGAAAAGGAAGACTTCAACGTTAAAACTGATATTTCTCCTCTACTAAACAATATTCTCAAATTCTATGGGAAACTCTCAGCAAACTAAATGTTATTGTTACACAAAAATAGACTGGACATTGACCTTATTCACACAGTTGAAAACAGCACACTACTAACATTAATACCTATAGCTGATAACAAGATATAACAGCATAAATGACAGAATAAAATTGAGAAACTTTATCCCAACTATCAGCACACACCATCAAATGACTATGGGAAATAATGGATGTCTACAGCCCTGAACTGAAAGCCTCCTTGAGAAAGCAGTAATGGGGAAAATGGCAAAATACAGCATAATTGGAATAAATTGAGCACTGGTGTACATTGTACTAGCACAATTTTATGGTTATTATGATTATCAGCACTGCTACAGAAAGGCCATTCTAATCCAATGCTTTAATGGATTATGTGCTTCAAAAAAATAAGAGTTGCTGACCTCCCTCCCAACTCGCTACCTTAAATACCTGAAGCGGAGAGCCTACGAATGGCAAGGGGTAAAAGAGTTTAGCAGAAATTATGTAACCGATCTCACAATCAGCCTTGAATAAAGTCCTCATCTTCTCAATCTAAGGCCCTTCCCAGTCTGATGGCCATACTGCTGCTTTCCACGCAGACGTTTGCTTGGCTTCCCCAGTGTTCACATCTCCTAACTGTGCACACTTTTGCAATTGGCAATTTGCAGTTTGGCAGCGGAACCCAAGCGTCACTGGCACGTAAGTCTCACTGGAAGCTCCGCCACCCGCTCCCGCAGGTATACAAGGATGGGGAGTATATACGTGAAGTGAGTTATAGTCATGGGCTTATATGGAGGCTCTGAGTCCGGCACGGGGAAAAGAAAAAGCTCTTCTCCATCACGCGATGTTTGTTTGCGGAGAACAGAATTGCAGCTCTGCTCCAATGTGCCTTCAGAAAACGTTTTGACATTAAGAGATTTTTAAAGTTTCCCTATTTGAGAACACAGCTGAGAAGGCAGTGAGATGCTTTCTGGAGATAAGGCGCATTTTTTATCTATCCTAGGCAAGAGAAAGACACCAGCGCGGCCCGGGGCCCAAGGTCTAGGACGCTGCCCAGCTAGGGGATGTTTTATCAGTTTTGCAATGGGACTCACACAACGCTCAGCTCCATAACCCTTCCAAGCCCATTAGGCTGCAGCATCCACAGGGACAGAGTCCAAGCGAAGGGAGGAGATCAATGAGACGGGCACCAAAGCCTCAGCTCAGGGAGGCCAATGATCCAATTGTCCCCACCGTCCTGTGACTCTGTCCCCACCGCCGGTGACTCTGAACACTTGTCTGCCACCAGGACCTGTTGCAGCAAGTCTTGTTTCAACACAACCACCGTGGCAACGTTAAGGGGTTCCCTGCTGTCCAAGCCTCCTTCCTGCAAACCTTAAGCCTATGTAGAAGGAAACAGCACAAAGCTGGATAAAAACATACATGACAAAATTCAGTTTCGGTCCCAAATGGAACAAACGGGAGAACTGCAAACCTTCTGTGGTGTTTCGGGCTCTGCAGTGAGGGTTCCCGATTGCCTCTTCTTTGTTTTTTCCCCAGCAGCAGCAGCTGTTGGTCCAGCTGAGGTTCACAGCCTGGCAGTGTATCCCATCGCACCCATCATGTCATACAAGGGGACATTTCCTGTGCAGGTACGTATGCATGTATATGCCCCCACGTTATACAGGGGGCAGCACGCGAGACTTTAGTGATTGTGTAAACCTCAGTGCTCCTCAGTTGCCATAGCAACGGGGCACTACGCTGAGCTGCGAGGAGTCTTGCCTTGATACCATTTTGATCAGCTCTTTTTGTTGCAAATTAATATTAAATTGCAAGTCAGTAATAAATGAAAATACATTTCTGAGGAGCAACTGAGGATGTTAACGGGATGCACAGCAGGAAGTATTAAGCAATTTAAGAGTCAGCCACATCCACTAGAAAACAATTCAGAAAACTACTGAGTTTTATAAAAAACACTGTGAGAAAAAAAAAAGCTTCCAGGAGAGAATTTCAGTGCAGAACCAGTCATCCAAGCAGCACGTAAAATAACATATCACAATCTTCCATTTTTAGGCCTCCATTTCTAGCTTTTAATTAGCCATTGTTTACTTTGTCACTTGTCAAAAGGACTCGATGATATAAGTGACATGTTGACATAAATCCTCCCTCCACTCAGCCCTGCCATCATGTCACAGAGGTAAAGCTTTATAAATAAACTTGTATACAGGGGAAAAAAACCAGCAACTTGCAGGAGGAGAAAAGCCAGTTACTATGAAAACAATGTGGGGGGTAGGTTAATATAACAAATACATTGTGCTTCACAGAAGACTCATCTGTCTTCTTAATTGCTCGAGCAAAAGTGCATCACACCAAAATTGTTGAACTACATAGAAAAGAAATCAAAATTCTCAGTTTAAGCTTGGAGTAAAGCACTTATGTGACTTTGCAGCTCGCATGAGAAGCATTCAGGAAGAAGCCTGCACCATTTAGGCACCATCTATCACAATCATTTCTGAGGACGGAAGGCAGCTTGTCATGCAAGAGATACGTCTGAGGAGCCAAAAAACAAACACCCCATCACACAACATAAATTTCTCTTATTTTTGCCTGAAGAGATTTTTTTGTTGTGAGGGAATTCTGCCTGCAGAGAACGCGGGGAGTTGGCCCACGTGCTGCTGGTCTCATCCCAAAGCTCCTGACGGATATGTCTGCACACACATACATTAACTGCAGCATCTGCCTGGTACGCCCACAGTGCTGCCTTCCCACGAAACCCTGACAGCCCCATAACCAAAGCCCCAACAGAAACCCAAGGGGCCATCACAACCTGGCCACGCATTTTTCAGATATATGCGCAATTGTATATGATAATTACCATAAACTACAGCTTAGACTACTTTTAATAGGCAATTGTTCATTTTTGCCAGATGAACATAACTTCGACTCCTTTTAAAATGTGCTCTTTGGTGCATTAACAGATTGTTAAAATATGGAGAGAAGATTCTCTCCAACAAGCCAGTTAGAAAGACTCAGCAGATAATGCTGGAAATGGGAATAAGAGAGCACATATTGTAAAGGTCCACATGCTCACTGTTTTTAAAGACCAGCTATTAAAAAAAATAAATAAAAAGAAACAAACAACTCTGAATGTTTTCCTTACGCTGCCTGAAATGGGGCGAACCAACTCACTGGATGGCATTCATGTCTCAAGACAGACCTTTAAAATTCTCACATCAAATGAAACCTGCACACCAGTTTCATGAGCTTCTTCCATCACCCTTTGCCAAGAGCTGCGAGACTCTAGGAGCAATGTAAATTCATTAATCTCATAAAGCAATTAGTGTAAAATCCAATGACTGCTAAATGATTCCAAATGAATTACTTGCAACATAACATTTCATTTTCGGGACTGTGTTCATTTATGTAATGGGGCAATCTTCACAAGACAAGCACCAATATTTAGGCTGTAATCCTGCAACCCCTACAGAAGAAAATGTGTTTTCCATGCCTTTATACAGGAAGTTGCAAGGCTGTATTCTAAGGAATGGGTAGAGTATCCCACAGTTCGAAATCTGTTTAAAGCTGGGTTGATCAAGTTGAGGCCCTCCAGTACCCCTGAGAGCTATACATTGATACACAACAAAATCTAGACTCCCATAAAAGAATTCTGCGTGAAGAACCAATTCAGGATGATTTGGGGGTCACCTCACTTTTTAAGGGGCATCGGTGCCAAAAGTCTGGCCACGTAGACCATGAGGCGAGATGAGAACCGGCTCAACCGTCAGCTCAAGGGTTGGGATCAGCAGATGGCAAGAACATGGAGCTGGACTCGTCTCAGAGACACCCAGGGGCAGGAGGCAATGGGCACAAACTGAAATATAGAAATTCTCCTTAAGCCTGAGGAACAAACACATGTATTTTTACAGTGATGGTGGCTGAGCCCTGCACGAGGTTGCTCGGAGAGGCTACACAGCCTCCAGCCTCACAGACATTCAAAGCCTCATTGGATATGAATGGTCCTGGACGAGCTTTTCCAGGCCTCATCTGGACCCCCTGTCCCACTTCTGCGTGGGGATCTCCAACACCTCTGTGGACTGCTTTCTGCTAAGACATTTGGCACAGGCAATATTCTTAGCCAAGATAACCCAGTGTAGTACAAATTAAGAGAGGTGGGTTGGACTCTAATAGCTTAAGATTTGCCTTCTCTTTTTGGAGGAAACAGGAAGAAATTTTCTGTAAAGCCTTTTTTCATTTAGAATATATTTCCCCCCCCCCCAAACATTTAATTTTTAGCTAATGCAGTAATAGTTCTTGCCATTCATCAGGCACATTAGACCCAATTACCTCTGAAGAGGGAACAAAGCATTACTAGCTATTACTTTAATATTTTAATACAGCTCTTTTAGCTAATTTTAATAACTGAACAATGGTTAAATCAACAGTTACTGTGTTTTAGGTTATAAAGCACAGGTTTTAGGCAGTTTTGGGTTACTGCTGCTTTTTTTTACTAGCTAGCTAATTAAGCACTTGGAACATGTGCCTTTTGGCTAATAATAAATTAGAAGGGACACCAAATATAACTAAGGAGACTGCTGGCTCTCTCCAAGGACTGCATATTAAAATAAACAGTTAAGATACATACTCATGTTATCAGAAGCATTAGTTCTGTAGAGAGACTGAACTTTGTTTAAAAAATCATTTAAATATATAACAGAAAATCTGGGGAAAAAAAAAGAGTAAAGTCTCCAACAGGGGAAACAAAGTATTCCTAAAATTACAGTTTAAAATATGCAGGGTTTGTTCCCATTTTTTTTTTTAATTATTTAATTCTTACAGAGATTCCCCTGGGGTTACTTCAAGTACACATTCTCTCATGTCATTAATTTCCCTTGAAAGTAGGGCTGAAATGCACTATGATTCTCTATATTCTTTTGAGGAAACAGTTCCTTGCCTTGGCTGTTCTTGAATTCACCTGAAGAGAGCACATTATGTACCAGTGATGTTTACAAATCCACAAGTTCAGTTTATACTTACCTGTAATAGATAACAGAAAAATACATATCCAGGCTTATAAGTAAATATAAACTGTAGATGCTTAAACGCTAAGGTCTATCTGATTATGATTTATTGCTTTATAAATGGTTCCTGGCACTGTTCAAATGAACATTTCATATTAGCTGGCTACATCCATATGTTAAAGAAAAAAAGAAAGACAGGCATAAAGGTTACCCAGTTTCATAAACACCCTTTAAATATTATGGCTTCTGTAAGAGAACATGACAGGTTCTTTGCCCTTCCAGCCACTACAACAAGCAAATCCAGTTTGTAAAACACTGAGCGGCTACCCAGAGCTTTCCACCTCCCGTGGGAGCTTTTTGTCTTCTGCTTGGATCAGCAAGAGCACAGAAGAGGAATGCCAACCGACAGGCCCCAATCAATGAAGTTTTACTTACGGGCACACAAGCGCAGGATTTATCACTGAATGGAGTAACTAAAGGCAGAGTAACCCACGAGATGGGTTAGATTCCCTGCGCCGTGAGCAGGGAATGAAAATGGGAATTCATAGTAGAATACGTATAGAGCAACCCTTGGAGGGAAACCTTGTAGAGGAAAAAGGAAATAGAACTGAAGGAAGCAAAGTAACAGCAACGATGCACCCAAGTTTCATCCTGAGGATTCTTAAAAATACATTTGATTTATTTATTAGCCTCCTGAGGAACATAGTCTTTTATCTCTTCAAAAATACACAGCATGAAGGTGTGAACCTAACTTACCTTCTTCACAAATTACACTGCCTGGAAGAAGATTCTTCTGCCTTCTTCAGCGCCTGCAGAATTAGCGATTGAGGAGCTAAGAGTTGGAGGTTAGAGCCATGGGAAGTTCTGGGGCCTGGGAAAGCAGCTAGGGCAAGCACTCCATTTGTGCCCGGCAAAGTCATTTTCTGAGCATGAAAAAAAAAAAAACCCTCAAGTTGTGTTGCAGACCTAATTAAATACTTCTGGACTAATTTTTCTACCAGCTTTTGTGATAGCAGCCAAGTTAGAACTAGTATCCGTTGAAAGAGCTCAGCCTCCTGGGATTTACACACACTGCAGAGCACGAGTTCAATTTATACTTTTATTCTGGCTGATAAAGAAGCATTAGGCTTTCATTAGGACTGATAGTCGATACCTTTCTAAGAGAAGACAAATTGCAAACTTGCCATCTGTTCGGTTTTGTCCACATTAACAAGATCAATGGATACAGTATCCCTCAAATCATGAGGAATTTACCTTGCATCCACATGCAAGATGGCTTGGAATGATTGATAAGGAGGCCAAAACTGACTGAAGTTACCTTAATATCTTTTAAAGCCAAATATGTAACTTACTCCTCAATCCTCTTTTTTTTTTTTTTTTTTTTTTTTTTTTTTTTGGTGGAAAACTGCCTACAGCTGTGCAGGCACAATGTGGTTTCCAAACTCAAAGTATTTTACTACATGAACTAAAACCGTTCCAGCAGCCACTGGCTTATTTCAACATGACCA